GGGGGGGGGGGGGCTGTTTTCAAGTCTATATACAGGTATAACGAGTAACTTAAAAAATTAGTTTCACAAACAACTAAAATTTAAACAACAAAAAATACATTTTTTTTTTAATCGTATCTTTTTTTAGAAGTTTATTTTTTGTGCAGCTTACATAGATTAAAACCGGTCAATGTAACGCTAACAAATCAAAGGTAAGGTCACATGTGCTTCGATGAGTCGTCGCTCACCGGGTGAGCCGATACGGGGCTATTTAGCAAATGCGAGCCTGAGGGAGGCACTGCTCGAAGGCCGGGCTGCTCCGGACTACTCCGCAGCTGGAAGAAAGTGAAATGTCAGTTGAATGAATAGTTGAACGAGAGAGTCCTAGGCTTGAAAATAAAAGTCAGGACAATGAGGCGAACGTTTCGGCTAGATGCCTTCTTTCAGCCGACAGTACTATTAAATAAACATAAAATAAATTAAAATAGAAAATAAACAAACCCCGAATAACGAAGCTTCCTCGGGTAAATAATTTATAGGCATATTTTTTTCAAGTTTACATTAATATTCAAATGTCCCTCCCGCTTTGAAACAGCAGATATATTTCACCAGTTATTTCAGAAGTTCAACAAAAACGCACCAAACGACCTTGTGATATTTTTTTTTTACGAATTTAATTTAGCGCCGTTATCGGAAATTTTATTTCGTGAAATCAGGGTCATAATAGGTCCCTCATCTTTTCTTTCAAAAGCAGAATGATTGATTTGGGGGGGGGGGGGGGTGGGGGGGGGGGGGGAAATTTTTACTAAATATGTTGTTATAATCAGCGAATCTATCGGCCAAGTTTCAGCTCGGTAGGTTGACGGGAAGTGGGTCAATTTTTCATATGAAGATTTTTTCCCTAAAGACACGAACAACAGCTAATTTAATAGAAAATGGGCCTATCATCATACGGCCCGCCAGCACCCACTTTACAGCCTGCGAAGTAACGGAATCTTCTTTATTATTATTGTTATTTTCTTAATTACTTCCCCCCCCCTACTTTCTTTCGGCCCGAACAAGCTTAACATAAAGTATTACGGCCCGCCTTAGATTATGACTTGTGAAGGCCTGGTGAAAAATATTTAAATATAGAACTTAAGTTTCTTTTAAGATCTCAATCGTGCCAATGTAGCTGGATATTTGGAACAGGAAGAACTTGCTTTTGTTGTTACGAAACTGAGTTTAGCTGCTCAAACCTAAAACTTTGCCGCCCCACATTATTCTTTGGTGTGTACTAGTACGGCATAGTCCCAGCGGTCAACGGAAACAGACTCAACGTTATGACTTGCACCAAGCTTCTAAGACCTATTCGTTGTTGTTTCTCGCTATCGCCTCCAAAGGCAACATTGTACCAGCTCGCTGAACGACGTTTGGCGTCTGAAAAATAAAGTGGGGCCCACACTACAACATTCGTTTGTTGTCGGTTGTGTCGGACAACGGCGTGGAATACGGGAGTTGGAATATTGAATTGTTGGACGTTGAAGAGCTACTGTGCGTGAGTACTCACCCGATCGTTTCAGTTTTACACGAGGCCTTGAGACATTCCAAGAAGGCTGAGTTACAGTGTGTGTGTGGGGTGGGGGGGGGGGGCTGTGAGTAAGGTGGGTCAGTCACACAATATTGCCTACAGTACTCACCCGATCGGGTCAGTTCTACACGAGGCCTTGAGACATTCCAAGAAGGCTGAGTTAGAATGTGTGTGTAAAGAGGGGGGGGTGGCGGTAAGTAGGTGGGTCAGTCACACAACATTGCCACATTGCCTACAATACTCACGCGATCCGATCATTTGTACACGTGGCATTGAGACATTCCAAGAAGGTGGGGAAGACCTTCACATTGGCGTGGTTGGTCAGACATTTGCGTACCGGGGTGCTCAACAGGATTGGACCACAGACAGACAAAGCCTTGACCTTGTCACTACAGTCCTTGAACGTGGTGGACACGGCCAAACAATTTGCGTTGTAGGATTGTGGGCTGCGGATCAGAAAAGTTGGGGGGGGGGAAGGGGGTCAATTAGTTTTTCACTTTTACACACGGCTGAGAATACTTGACAAACACAGAAGTTCAATTCTACTTAAAATGGACCGATTAGTTTGGTGATAGGAATAAATAACTTTTAAAAGAAAAAAAAAAATTGTATTACTTTCGTTAGTAAGTCCAACTCTTGCACCCGACGTGAAGGAGGTCAACCCTTAAACCGGGGTTTGCCAAACTGGGGCCACTCTACGCCCCCCCCCCCCTTTTGGGTGCCAGGTAGCATTTCACTGAATGCAAGGTAATCGGATTATAAACAACAGGGGGGGAGGGGGTATTATGACATATCTCTTTATATACATTTCTTAAATTTTAGTCCTCTCTGTCCTACTCTCTGACCTCTCTATTTGTCTCTCTCTCCCTCTCTCTCTCCCCTCTGCCTGTCTACTCCCTCTCCCTTTCTTTGTATCTCTCTCCCAGTATCTCTCTCCCAGTATCTCTCTTTCTTCTCTACGTGTTTCTCGCCCACTCTCTCCAAACCTTTCTTTTGTATCTCTATCCCAAGCTCTCTCCATCTCTAGCTTTCTGCCTCTATTTCTCCCTCGTCTTGCTCGACGTTTCTCTCTTTTGGCGATTTTTCTTCCTCTCTCTCTCTCTCTCTCTCACTCTCCGTCTTTTTAACTCTCTCTCTCTCGTTCTCTCTCTCTCTCTCTCTCTCTCTCTCTATCTTTCTCTTTCTCCACCTCCAACTTTCTCTTCACTATTCATTACTCACTTAAATCTATCCCTGTCGTCAACACTCTCATAACCACTGATCATTGAGGCCAGGATCTTCTCCTCCCTGCTGGCGTAAGGAGCGTAGACCAGGTCAGGGTTTTGATTGCACACATCTTCAGCCAGGTCGGACCCGATGGTGTCAGGTGGTGATATCACGCAAATTCCTGGCTCCAGGGTCTGTTCGAAGAAGTTATTAAAAATTTAGGTCTCATCTTTTTTTCTTTTTTTTAAAGAAAACAAAGTATTTGAGCTTGGACTATGCACCAATCTAAAAAATGTGACTGTTTGGTCTCCAATAAGGTGTGACCATTAGCACAATGTGACACTACAAACCGTAAAAAATGTGACGTGACATGGTGTAGGAAAAAAAATTGACCTGCTTAGTCTCCGAGTGGTTGGGTGGTCTGTAGATGACCTCCGCGCCGCAAGCTCTTAGAATCGAGATGTTGTGGGCGTCGTCGGTGCTCATGGAGAAGTTGAGGCTGAACATTTTGAGCTTTTCCAGCACCAAGTCCTTCGTTATCTCGTGAGTTTCATTGGAAATCTGCCAACATAAAAGCCGGGGTGATAGGGGTGGTCAAAACAAACAACAACACGGTGATCTTTTACAGCAACGGTTCTCAACTTGTGGGTCGTGACCATTTTTGGGGGTCGAATGATCCTTACGCATGGGTCGCCTAAGACGATCGTAAAACATATATTTATAAAGCAGCAACGAAAATACGTTTATGTCTGGGGGCTCATCGCAACAGAAGGTTTTTTTTTTTTGTTGTTGTTTTTTCACCAAAAGAAAAATGACTGGCAACATCGTACAAACTATCTCCTCCCACCACTTTTCCACTTAATATCCCCGGGCCAGGTAGGCTTTCCAAGCAGTCTGACCTTTGGTTCCAGGTACGTCTTGGGGGTGACAAACTGAAACGAACTCTTGATTGAACCATACGAAATGCTCACTCTGACCCGGTCGTTGAAGATGTAACCATCTCTGGGAATGAGAAGGGGAAACAAAAATGTATGAAAGAAAAACTTTATATTTTTGTAATGGCTTGTAGTTTAGGGACAAGGACGAGACTCGCCACTAATGGCGGCTTAAACGGTGTTAAACCAACTTGGCATCAACTATTTGTGTCTGAGGGTTTGGTTCAAAGACTTCGCGACGTCATCGTAGATAAATTACCTATGTATTTTTAAAACTAAAAGTTGATTCACTGTTAAGTCTTACGAGACAATACTTTGTTTTTTTTTCTTGCTTTTTTTTTTATTTTATCATCCATTAGTGATTTTTTTTTAAAGAATTAAAATGTCAAAGGAAGTGAAGTTAAGCATATTCAAGAACATAAAGGGGAAGGATTGTTATATCGACTACCTCTCGTAAAGGCCTGCAGAACTGACCCGTATAGAAAAAGACCTACAGAACTGACCCGTAAAGAAAGCAAGAAGCTACCTCTCATAAGGACCTGCAGAACTGACTCGTACTTCACACGTCTTCCCATTGATCTCCCTTTTGATGAGGGCAATGTTGGCGGAGCATGGGTAGCTGATGGAGGACACCAGGTCGTGGGCGGTGTTCAGGATGGGGTCACCTCTCAGAAAGCAGACGCCCAGGTCTGGAAATAGCAAGCGGTAATCGCTGGTTTTGACGTCACTAGTTCCAGACGTAAAGCATTGAGTGTGGCACTTAGTAATAGTTTAATCCTTCCGTCAAATACCAGTGACGCAGTAATAAAGCATGCAATAGCTAAATGTAGCAGATATATAGTCTGCATAGCAAAATGTAACAATAAAAAGTCGATATAGGTAAATGTAGCAATAATAAATTCCGTATAGTTATATGTAGCAATATTAAAGTTAATATAGCTAAATGTGGCAATAATAAAGTCCATATAGCTAAATGCAGCAGTAATAAAGTCTACATAGCCAAATGAAGTCGTAATTAAATCTAAATAGGTTAATATAGAAGTAATAAATGTCTACATAGCTAAATGTAGCAGTAATGAATGTCTGCATAGCTAATGTAGCAATAATAAATGTCTACATAGCTAACTGAAGCAGTAATAAAGTCCATATAGCTAAATGTAGCAGTAAAAAAAGTCTGCACAGCTAAATGTGTCAGTAATAAAGTCTGTATAGCTAAATGTAGTAGCAATAAAGTCTACATAGCTAAATGTCCTAGTAATGAAGTTTATATAGCTAAATATAACAGTTATAAAGTATACATAGCTCAATATAGAAGTAATAAAGTTTATATCGCTAAGTGTAACAGTAAGCAAGTCAATGTAGCTAAACATTAATGTAGACTACACTACTTTTGAACCAAACTATGCACATCTGCCCAGATTATATGGTTTTTATTTAAGCAGCAAATGGATGTTCTTTTGTATTCATCGTACTACTTATTTGAAAACAACGCATCTCCTCCATGTGTATGGATGAACACGTGCTTAGCAAAATAACTAGGGCCTCTTCTCTGGTCAATGGGTAGCTTGACAAGTGGTTCCCGAAATATCCACAACGGTATCTGGTCATTTGCTCAGAAATAATTGTCTGAGTTCTTTTTTTTTTTTTAATGAGTCTGGGAAGGGTGTTTTCGACTTTAGACAACCTGCTCAAAAATAGAGTCATCGATCTTGTATCCATATGGGATAACTTTAAAACTCAAATGTTCATATACCCGGGAGTCAAAGGAAAATAATCATTGTTCCCCAAACCCACGCACTAAAGTCATTTTAAAATATTTTAAATATTTTAAAAGTCACAAAGTCAACTCGCCATGACTTACCGGAGTCCTTGCAGCAGAGTGTGCCGTGTCCCTTCAGACCGGAGCGGCACCGGCACCTGTCGTCGGCCACGGTGTAGTCTGCTCCCTCCACACACCGGCCGGCGCCTTGGGTGATGGCTGATGGAGGAATGTGAGCAGGTGAACACTTAACTTGCAATCGCAACAAACATCTTTCAAGGGCGAGGTTGGGGGGGGGGGGGGGGGGATTTTTTGGGTTATTGGGTGATGGCTGATGGAGGAATGTGAGCAGGTGAACACTTAACTTGCAATCGCAACAAACATCTTTCAAGGGCGAGGTTGGGGGGGGGGAGGGGGCATTTTTAGGTTTGGTGGTCATCATAGGAGAAAGAAAGTGATTTTTTTTCCCATCTTTCTGATGTTTTAAATGTGACTATGTCAATTCTACTGAAATAGCTCGCATTTTGAATGAACAGATTATCGCATTCCTTCCCCCCCCCCCCCCAAAGGAGCCAACATGCCCTTCTCTCCCCATTGGCCAATCATTAAAATCCTCCGTGTTACTTTTTTTCCACCGTGCATTCAGTTTCAATTAGTATCATACTAGTAAAGTCAAATAGTATCTTACTGTTTAGATCAAATAAAATCATACAAATCAAGTCAATTCGTATCATGCGAATAAAGTCCGAGAAGATCATACTAATTAAGTCAAATAGTATAGTACTGTGTAAGTCAAATAGTATCATACTAATAAAGTCAAATATAATTATACTGATAAAGTCAAATTGCATCATACTAATAAAGGCAAATACTGTCCTATAAGTGAAGTTAAATAGGTATCAAAATATGTCATTTTCTGTTTAAGGTATATGATTTTAGTTTTATATTGATACTTTATTGCGCTATGAAAACTTTTTCATTTAACTAGAAATTTTTTGTAATGGAAAACGACAAAAAAGGTGGTATTAACTTGAGAAAATTTATTTTGGGGGGGGGGGGGGGGGATTATTGAAACAACACACACATTTGCTAATAATAGATCACTGGTGGATCCTAACATCTGCTAATAGATCACTCGTGGACCCCAACATCTGCCAATAGATCACTTGTAGATCCTAACATCTGCTAATAGATCACTCGTGGGACCCTCAAGATTGTTATTGTCTTTAAATTAATGACCCACTATTAGAAGCTGTATAACAAACGTCATCTCCAAAGGGTGGAGTTTTTCTCAAATTAAAACAATATATATTTCTTTTTTTAAAAAAAGGTCCATGAAGACAAACCATTGCCCTGTTTGGTCAGAAGTCCCCCGTACGCTATAATACACCCGTGTGGTACTTACCTAGAGAAGAAACTTGACCCACCAACAGGACAGTGGTCAGCAGAAGAACGTGCAGCAACATTTTCTCAAAACAGTTTAGGTCAGGACAGGAAAACTGAAACATTGATTTTTATTTATAGTTATTGCCATGTAAAGTTAGGGTTTATATCGATGGCGAATCATTGGGCATGGGATGACTGGAGTTCTTCTCCACAGTGACAACATCAGTAGACTCGCACTACTATACCCAGAAAGTTCTACGGCGTCACAGAGTGTGACATAGGCTTATTGGAGTTCTTCACCACAGTGCAAACATCAGTAGATTTAGATTCGCTCTAATCTACCCAGACAGTTCTTTTGCGTCACAGAATGTGACATTTAATGTGACATTTAATGTGACATTTAATGTGACATTTAATGTGACATTTAATGTGACATTTAATGTGACATTTAATGTGACATTTAATGTGACATTTAATGTGACATTTAATGTGACATTTAATGTGACATTTAATGTGACATTTAATGTGACATTTAATGTGACATTTAATGTGACATTTAATGTGACATTTAATGTGACATTTAATGTGACATTTAATGTGACATTTAATGTGACATTTAATGTGACATTTAATGTGACATTTAATGTGACATTTAATGTGACATTTAATGTGACATTTAATGTGACATTTAATGTGACATTTAATGTGACATTTAATGTGACATTTAATGTGACATTTAATGTGACATTTAATGTGACATTTAATGTGACATTTAATGTGACATTTAATGTGACATTTAATGTGACATTTAATGTGACATTTAATGTGACATTTAATGTGACATTTAATGTGACATTTAATGTGACATTTAATGTGACATTTAATGTGACATNTATATATATATATATATATATATATATATATATATATATATATATATATATATATATATATATATATATATATATATATATATATATATATATATATATATATATATATATGTGTGTGTGTGTGTGTATAAAATCTCAAAAGGTTACTTACCTTGATGTCAAGCAAGAAGTACTCAAATTGTCCAAGTGCCGAGAACGAAACACGAGCACCAATTTATACTGAACAAGAAACAATCAACTGACTGAGACACTGTAAATTATCGCCCAGTCTCAACATCTTGCGCTTGTAAATCCTTGAGAAAATAAAGTTACGAAAAAACAAAAACTGAACACAAAAAAACATTTCGCTTAGTAATTTATATCCAAAGTGTCCAAAGATACGACCAGCATGAGAAGCTTTAATCCTTGCTATCGTAAATACGAGAATTAGATCGATTTTGATTATTTCAAGATTGTTTTCTTTTTTTATGATGCCTTCAAAAGGAAGAAAAAATATGTTTACGTTTCTAGCGACGAGGGGGTGAATTTTATTCAGAGCACTTAAAATTAAAATCGATCGATGTTTCGTGTATTTTTAACCACATTTTTCTTTTATAATGGCTCCTCGTGTCAGTTTAAAGTCTGCACCGGGATGTTGAGACTGAGGCTTAGGCGTTTCTCCGGTACAGAAATTCATATTCGTCTTTCACGTTTAAATTTCGTCAGTTCGGGGGTGGGGGGGGGGGATGGGTGGCTGTGCAAAGGCCTCAAAAATGCTTACGGCCCCGCTTGGTGGTGACCTGGTCACTTCATGTCACGTCATCCGTTTCTCACACGTTGAGTCGACCGATGGAGTGGTCAGAGAGCTCTGCTGTTGGCGTCTTCACTGACCGACACGGGTCGGATGAAGGAATAGCTTGAAACTTACTCGGCGACGGTTAAACACTAAGAACTTATACGGCAAACCTTGCATGCGTATTCTTCCACAGGACTTGAGTCAGATTGTCTAAGCGTAAGGTCTTCTTCGTAATTACACTACTTTTTTAAATAAAGGGCGTACATCAAACAAGTGTGGTCTGCGACGTAGGAAAGGGGTGTGCAAGGAGGGCAGTGCGCCCTAATTGGCCCTTTTTTTCTTCATCTTGAAGAGCGGAATCTTCCATCAACTGCAGAGTTTTGGTGATCTGTTATAGTTTTCGTGGTGGTGTGGCGAAATTCCTGGACCGGGCCTATCCCCTAGATACGACTCTGAGTGGCGTGCAATTTGATAAGTGTGGTACATTTAACGAGTGGCGTAATTCAGTAAAGGGCGGACTCTTGCTAAGTGGCTTACATTTGATAATGGGCATATGTTGAATTTAGAGTGTAAATTTAAAAAAAACACTAGTTATTGCATAACTTTTTTAAAAATGTGTGTACACTTTCTCACTCTCTCTCTCTCTCTCTTTCTCTTTCTCTCTCTCTCTCTCTCTCTCTCTCTCTCTCTCTCTCTCTCTCTCTCTCTCTCTCTCTCTCTTTCTCTCTCTCTTTCTTCTCTCTCTTTTTTTTCTCTTTTTATTGAATTTAGAGTGTAAATTTAAAAAAAACACTAGTTATTGCATATCTTTTTTAAAAATGTGTGTACACTCTCTCTCTCTCTCTCTCTCTCTCTCTCTCTCTCTCTCTCTCTCTCTCTCTCTCTCTCTCTCTCTCTCTCTCTCTCTCTCTCTCTCTCTCTCTCTCTTTCTCTCTCTCTTTCTTCTCTAACTATTTTTTCTCTCTTTCTTTCTCTCTTTCTCTTTCTCTCTTTCTTTCTCTCTTTCTCTTTCTCTCTCTCTCGTTCTCTCTCACTCTCTAACTCTTTCTCTCTCTCTCTATCTCTTTCTCTCTCTTTCCTCTCTCTCTTTTTCTCTGTCATTATCTCTGTCTCTCTCTCTCTCACCCTCTCTCTCTCTTTATTTCCCTCTTTCTCTCTCGCTTTTTTTCTCTCTCTCTCTCTTTCCTCTCTCTCTTTTTCTCAGTCATTATCTCTGTCTCTCTCTCTCACTCTCTCTCTCTCTCTCTCTTTATCTCCCTCTTTCTCTCTCGCTATTTCTCTCTCACTCTATCTTTCTCTCTCACTCTATCTTTCTCTCTCTCTCGCTCTCTTTCTTTCTCTCTCTCTTTCTCTATCTCTCTCCATCTATCTTCTCACGAATTTCTCCACCTTTTCTTGCGCTGATTTTCCCACAAGCTTTAGTTGGTATGTGGAGTGGATGATGTGGATGGTGGGGATGATGTGGATGGTGTGGATGATGTGGATGGTGTGGAGATGATGTCCCTACTAAGGAGATAGTGCACTGGATGATGTGGAGATTATCCCCTACTGAGAAGTCAATGGACCTCTTTGATAAACAACAACAAAGTGGTTAAGTATTTTTCCCCGCCAAGCGCGTCACATATGAACTTATTTATCCATTCGATAGGTGATTATTTTCATTTTGGCATAAACGCAAGTTTTAAAAAACATACAAAGCACTTTTTGTGACGGTATGTGTCATTTCGGTGTGTCTGACCATCGTCTGGGCTGATTGTTGTAGGTTTCGCCGCCTTTGACTTATGCTGAAGAAGTAAAAGCTGATGGACCAAGGGACCTTTTATTCCAGCGACACTGAGTCATTTTGTTTTAATCGTTGATACCATTATAACACTTGATGGTGTTATCATAACCTTAGGGAGTCAGTAAATACTTGATGGTGTTATTATAACCTCAAGGAGTCAGTAAACGCTTGATGTTGTTATTATAACCTCAGGGAGTCAGTAAACATTTGATGGTGTTATAGGCTCAGGGAGTCATTAAACACTTGATGGTGTTATCATAGGCTCAGGGAGTCATTAAACACTTAATGGTGTTGTAATCTCAAGGAGTCAATAAACACATGGTGGTGTTATTATAACCCGAATGAGTCAGTAAACATTTGATAGTGTTATTATAACCTCAAGGCGTCCGTAAAGACTTGATGGTGTTATTATAACCTCAGGGAGTCAGTAAACACTTTATGGTGTTATTCTAGGCTCAGGGTGTCATTAAACACTTGATGGTGTTATTGTAACCTCAAGGAGTCAGTAAACATTTGATAGTGTTATTATAACCTCAAGGCGTCCGTAAAAACTTGATGGTGTTATTCTAGGCTCAAGGAGTCAGTAAACACTTGATGGTGTTATTAAAACTTCAAGTAGTCAATAAACACTTGATGGTGTTATTATAACTACAAGTAGTCATTAAATACTTGATGGTGTTATTATACCCTCAAGGAGTCAGTAAACACTTGATGGTGTTATTAAACCTCAATGAGTCACCAAACACTTGAAGGTGTTATTACAACTTCAAGGAGTCAGTAAACACTCTTTGGTGTCGCTATTAACCCCAATGAGTCAGTAAAACTCACTCGTTTTTTCAATTAAAACCTCGATTAGTCAGTAAGCACTCGATGGTGGTGGTATAAAATCAAGGACCCATTAAGCACTCGATGGTGGTGGTATCAAATCAAGGACCCATTAAGCACTCGATGGTGGTGGTATCAAATCAAGGACCCATTAAGCACTCGATGGTGGTGGTATCAAATCAAGGACCCATTAAGCACTCGATGGTGGTGGTATCAAATCAAGGACCCATTAAGCACTCGATGGTGGTGGTATCAAATCAAGGACCCATTAAGCACTCGATGGTGGTGGTATCAAATCAAGGACCCATTAAGCACTCGATGGTGGTGGTATCAAATCAAGGACCCATTAAGCACTCGATGGTGGTGGTATCAAATCAAGGACCCATTAAGCACTCGATGGTGGTGGTATCAAATCAAGGACCCATTAAGCACTCGATGGTGGTGGTATCAAATCAAGGACCCATTAAGCACTCGATGGTGGTGGTATCAAATCAAGGACCCATTAAGCACTCGATGGTGGTGGTATCAAATCAAGGACCCATTAAGCACTCGATGGTGGTGGTATCAAATCAAGGACCCATTAAGCACTCGATGGTGGTGGTATCAAATCAAGGACCCATTAAGCACTCGATGGTGGTGGTATCAAATCAAGGACCCATTAAGCACTCGATGGTGGTGGTATCAAATCAAGGACCCATTAAGCACTCGATGGTGGTGGTATCAAATCAAGGACCCATTAAGCACTCGATGGTGGTGGTATCAAATCAAGGACCCATTAAGCACTCGATGGTGGTGGTATCAAATCAAGGACCCATTAAGCACTCGATGGTGGTGGTATCAAATCAAGGACCCATTAAACACTCGATGGCGGTGTTATAAAATCAAGGAATACAAGGAGTCAGTAAACACTCGATGCTGCTATTATAACTTCAAGCAGCCATTCACATCCCCTATTATTTTACTAAATTTTCTTCGTATTTGAATCCGCAAACTCGTATGACTGGTTGATGAATTCGAACAAACTTTTATCATCTCCAGCCGGTCCATAAAGTGAACACGTTTTTTCGGTTTTATGTTTTTGTCTCCAGTACCCACGTTTTATCAGTGAATAAACAAAATGGATTTGGGAACCAATGTTATTATTGCACAAATGAACTCAATCGCCCCCAGCTGTGACCGGAGTAATGTAAGTTCAATGCAGTATTTTGTCCGTACAGAATTCCCTTGAAATTAGAAATGTAATATTCTGATATACCATTATTGATAAATAAATTGTGATAAAATTCTAATTAGTGTCGATTACATCTTGTAACTCTTTAAATTTAAAAATACCCCATCATTATGTTCAGAAAAATTGCTTGAAGTTTGTTTGTTTGTTTTTCGTGGTTTTTTGTTTATATAATTTACCATGATATTCCGTCAAGGCCAAATAAAAGGATTAGGGTTCCTTACCATAGCAACGACATATGGCTATTTATGGAGTTCATGAGTTCATTTCAGGTACCGATAATGAGGGTTTGGACAAGTCATTAAGGAATCGAAAGGCCAAAATCGGTCTATAGTTTGAGCCAGCTTCGTCTTTTTAAAAATATCCATTGTTACGGTATGAATAGGATTTTAAACACCATTTTTTCATTTTTTTATTTACATGATTTGTAATTGATAAACAATGGAAACCAAACAGTCTTCACCCTACTGCTCACTCTTCACCCTACTGCTCACTCTTCACCCTACTGCTCACTCTTCACCCTACTGCTCACTCTTCACCCTACTGCTCACTCTTCACCCTACTGCTCACTCTTCACCCTACTGCTCACTCTTCACCCTACTGCTCACTCTTCACCCTACTGCTCACTCTTCACCCTACTGCTCACTCTTCACCCTACTGCTCAATCTTCACCCTGCTGCTCATTGTTAGCCAAATTATTAATCGTCATGTGGCACACCTGCCAAGTTTCAGCATAAAAAAAGACTGTTTAGATAAGGGGATTATTGCCGTATTAGGAAGAAGTCAGTGTTTCTCAAACTCTTACTTTTGGAGAAACCGGTGGACTAGTTTTTCATTGCAC